ATCAAAATTTTCCAACAAAATTCCACCCAACATATTCGTCCTCAAATTGGCCATAAACATCCTGCCACCCAAGAATTAAAAGTGGGTTAAAAAGTTCTTTTTCGGGAAGAAATTGCCATTTTTAATTCATTTTATTTCAATTTTGGGGGGGGCCGCCCCCCGGATTTCACCCAGGCCCCCTCAAAATAATTTTATGTTTTTTAGATTTCGGCGGCCTTGGATTAACACTTTTTTTTTTTGCTCATTCCCGAGTTTTAAGAAATTTAAAGTGGAAAACTTTGAATCCCCCTTCAGGTCAAGCGTTTTGGAAAAAAATTCTGGGGGGGGGGGGAAAAGGTTTCTGGGTATCCTAGGGTTTTTCGTAAAATTTTCTGACCGTTTGTTTAAGGTTCAAATTGGTCTGGTTACCAAAAATTTGCCAAAATTTATAAGAAAGACCCTAATTTTTCGGAATAAGCGTTTGGGGGGGATTCTTTTTTCATTTGGAAAGGAGTTTTTGGTAATAAGGGGAAGTTTTTTTTTGTTGTTTGTGTTCTGAATTTTTTAAATTCCCTCGTTTTTTCTTCTGGGGGGGCAATAAAGACGGTTTTCACAACTGATAAAGTTGTTAATCAACTTTCCAAGAATTTTATTTTATTTTTTTTATTAAAAATTTTTTTTTAAGGGGGGGGGGGGGGGGGGGGGGTTGTATCTATTAATCTTTATATTTATTTATTTTGGTTCAACACTTTTGTAAATTTGCAGCTTCAAGGGATATTAAAGAATAAGAAGCCATCAAACTTTGGATGCCATTTTCTGGCTCATTTTACTTCTAACACTATAACTTCAAACTAACCCCAACTTCTTTAATCGCAAATTTCTCGACTTCTACTCAAAATAATATAGATTCTAACGTTATTGTTTGAATATCAAAAGCAAGGCAAACACAAGAGGTGAAAGATCACACAAATAACTCCATAATCCCGAAAATCGACGAGCGCCTGATTCCACCAGGTTGTGACACATTTTTTTTCTATTTCCCTACTCACCGTCGCATGTACTGGGCGTGGCCATAAGAGGCAGGACGTTGTTGTGAACAAGTATGTTGTTCTCAAGAGTTTGTCCACACGAGGAAGACAGAGTTTGGATCTCTCCGACAGTGAGCACTCTGCCGACAGCTTGGAGCTCACTAATGACAATGTCTGCAGAAAAAGATTATAGCACGGAGTAGAAAAGATATATAAAATGATGATGACAACAACAACAACAACAACAACAACAACAACAACAACAACAACAATAATAATAAAAATAAAAATAAAAACAATAAAATAATAATAATGGTAGTAATAATAATAATAATGATAATAATAATAATAATAATAATAGTAGTATAGTAACATAAAGATAATAATGATATTGATGATAATGATAATAACAATAATTATAAAAACAACGATAATAATAACAATAACCACAATAATAACTACAATTAAAAGTAAGGATAATAATAATAATATTAATTATAATAATCATAATGATGATAACGAAAATAATGATTATCGTAACAATAAAAATATTTTGAAAATAGATAACAATAATTTAATTCATGATATTAATAATAATAGTATTAACAACAACAATAACAACAATAATAATATAAAACATATAATAATAATAATAATAATAATAATAATAATAATAATAATAATAATAATAATAATAATAATAATAATAATAATAATGTCTTAGAACCTCGAAACCGCCAACAATGTTAGATAGAACTTTGTAATCTATGGTAGCGACACGCCCGATTCTTTTCAAAATCAATTCTGACGTTTCACTGACCACTGTCATTTCCAGATGATGAAAAAGCTAATTGGCTGCAAGTCAGATTGGAAGCTGCGGGTGACAGGTGTTCTGTGAGATTCCCGTTGACGAACAAAGAGAATGTTCCCGCTTGGTGCACAAGCGCAACGTGGTGCCATTGCCTGGAGTAAAGGGACAGAAATTTCATAATTTCAAAATGATGTTTATTTATTTGAAAAGCATTTGGACCATACATCCACACGATATAACATAATTGTGATTCAGCAAATACATACATTCATGCAGCACTTCAGACATAATTGTACACACGTTGGGGGATAGTACTATTGATGGATGGCATACATTGGTGTACACACACACACACA